ACCCCAGACACTGTATCTTTTGATAGCTGGGCACCATCAGCTTTCTTTACCACATTTGCTTATGCACCCATTTTGTCTTCAGCTGTTGGGAAGGTGAGCAGCATGGAATGCCAGGTTATTAGAACAAAGTGTTCTTGCGTTGACCTTCTGTACATTTTAAGTTTATGTTGATGTTTCATCAATTTCTAGGAAGCTATGTAGAGATTAGCACTTTGTGGTCAGTTGGAGTATCCTGCAGTGTGCTGCATTCTTATTTGCTTTAATTTACTTTGTCCTATAGAAGGTTTTAACTTTTATTTTCTCTAAATTTTAGGTAGTCAATATATTGGTCTTTCATAATGTCTGACTGTTGAGTCCTACTTAGGCCTTCATCAGTTTTGGAATTTACCCCTTTCCCTCCTCCCATTTTTCCTTTTGTTCCTACAATGGTCTTAAGTCAGTTTTTATATTGAAATATAAAAATTCCAATATTTTATATTGAAATACCCTCCTTTTTTTTTCAAAAAAAGTTTGTATTATTACTGCCTTTTATTGGTAGCATCTTTATAAATCTAGCAGTGTTTTGAACATCTATGACATCCGTAAATTACTGGTAAAAAATTTTGTTGATGACATACTTACTGCCATTGAGTAAATCATTGAGTATCTTGACCCACAGAGACCATATTGGACAGAGTAGACCTGTTCTCTAGGGTTTCTGAGTCTATAAATCTTTTGCTTATGAAGCAGCTGGTGGGTTTGAACCACTGACCTGACAGTAAGTGGTTCAATGTGTAACCCAATGCGCCAACAGGGCTCCTTTACTAAGGATAAGGTGTAACACCCCTCTCCCCAACTCCAACTGTTTAGAATTTTAGCTTGAATATCTTGTTATTTGGGGAATATCGATCTATTCCCAACTTTGGGATATATCAACAATAGACTTTCTATTCATTTTCAGTAGTCTTGCTGTTCATATACCAGTATCACCTTATTTGTTTTATAAAATGTTTAAAATATTTTATGAACTTTATATTTCCTAGCTGTTAAATAAATATTTGAATAAACCAAAAATTATTTTAATATCCTTTAAAACTAGTCTCTTGTTGCCATTCATTTTCCTCATAATGAGTGTTTATTTTTTATACGTGAACTTTTTAGAATCATTTTGTGTCATTCCAGAAAAACATTTTTTAATGAGTGAATGTTAAATTTAGAAATTAACTTCAAGAGAATTGACATCATTCTAATGTGGAGTACTCCTAGCCAAGAACATTGTAGATCTTTTCATTTGTTTGGTTTCACTCTTCAGCCCTTTTGGAACATTAAGATTTTTTTCTCCTAGGTTTTGCCATTTCTTATCAAATATATTATTATATATATTATTTTCTTGTTCCTTTTGGATGTGGTGGTCTTTTCTTTATCTTATCAAATCCAACAGTTTGGGTTGTATATTTGAAGACTGTTAATTTCTACATATGGAAAGAAGTATATGTACCCTGAAGTTGTGAGTTTAACAGACTATTTTGAAAAATCTGTGCTCATTTTTGCTAAGTGGAAGAAAGCCTTGGGGGTCACATCAATAGTTCAGTTCTATAACTGCGTTTGTTAGCTCTGGGCATCAGAGAGGAGCCCTGGTGATGCAGTGGTTGGTGATATGAAAGGTTGGTGGTATGAACTGTCCATCTGCTCCATGGGAGAAAGACTGGCAGTTGCTTCCCTAAAAATGGCAGCCTTGGAGACCCTGTAGGGTAGTTCTACTCTGCCCTACAGGATCACTTTGAGTCAGAATTCACTTGACAGCAATCGGTTTGGGTTAGATTTAGATTCTGGATGTCAGGGAATACTTTTGACTTCTCTGAGCCTCAGTTTCCTAATCTGTACAAGGAACAACACTCTAAGGATGCTGGGCAGATTAAGGAAGAAAGCACGTGAAACTCATCACGTGGCATGTCTCTCCATCTCCCCCACATTCCTCCCGTTGCTCTTGGTGGCTCCAGACTCACTGTGGCCACCATGACTGTTGCCAGCACTCGCCTACAATCAGGTTGTTATACTTGTTTTCTTTTTTCCTCCTTTACTCCTTCCACCTTTACAAGTGAATCCATGAAGAGTAACAATTAAAGGGTATTTGAAGCTCTTATTAAATTTAAGTGACAATTAATGTACTCGAGAGCAGAGACTAAACTAACCCTAACATAGGCCTCCTACCAACTTCCTGCTTAAATATGTACTGCCTTCCTATATGCTCCCTAAAGAAAGCAAAGTTCCTTCCCCTCAGAATGTTCTGCTCTTTCAGATATTGTCCCAGCTTGGTCAAAGTAGTGGCTGTTTCCCTGTGTGTCCATGTGTCATGGAGCTCGTGCTTAGACAGACTGGAAACTCTTTGAAGAACGAAATGTCCAGGATACCAAAGACTCTTAACACCCTACCTAATACCTGGCAAACAATGGCCATGCAAATACTTATTAAATGAATGAATGAATGATTGACATTGGTCTTTCTTTTGCCTTTTATTACATGTCTGAGAAGCTCTCACCGTTATCTCACCCCGTAAACTGTAACATCTTTGAAGACAAGGATTATGGCTATTCTCAATAATAATGGGTGGCCCACAGGTTTATTATTATATAATAATAGCACATACCAATAAAAATAATAATTAACATCTTCTGAGTATCGAGTCTGTGCCAGGAACTGTTTTAAAGTTCCTAGTATGGTTTGTCTCATCTAATCCTCATAACAACCCTCTGAGTTGGGGACTGTTATTATGTACACGGAGAGGCTGTGGCACAGAGGTAATTTGAGTGGTGCCAAATCACACAAGTAAGAAGTGGTACTCAAAATGACCCTATAGGACAGAGTAGAACTGCCCCCTTGATTTTCTGAGACTTATAACTATTTATTGAAGTAAAAAGCCTCATCTTTCTCTCAAGGAGCGCCTGGTGGATTTCAACTGCAGAGCTTGCAGTTAGCAACCCAGCCTTATGATTTGATTCTAAGACAGTGAGAGAGTGAGTGAGTGAGTGAGTGAGTGAGTGAGTGAGTTAGGAGAAAGTAGACCTGGGATTCAAATGGATATACTCTTGAGTCTAATGTCCCAACTTTAACCTTCCACTGTACTTTCAACTTCTCACTCTTTTCCAATCACCCTCTTTTACTCACTCTAACTCATAGCCATCGAGTCAATACTGACTCACAGCAACCCCCTGTGGGTTTCTGAGGCTAAGTACGGGAGTCGGAAGTAGAAAGTATGGTCTTTCTCTCACAGAGTTGCTGGTGGTTTCGAACTACGGATCATATGGATTGCAGCCCAATGTATAACCATTACACCACCAGGGCTCCATTAGCATACCATTTTAATGACATGTACCGTATATATATATTTTAATTAATAAATCATTTTATTGGGGGTTCATAACAGCTCTTATAACAATCCATGCATCAATTATATCAAACACATTTGTACATAAGTTGACATCATTTTCAAAACATTTTCCTTCTGCTTGAGCCCTTGGTATCAACTCCTCTTTTTTCCCTCCCTTCCCTACCCTCCCATCCTCATGGACCCCTGATAAATTCTAAATTATTATTATTTTCATATCTTAGCCTGTCCACTGTCTCCCTTTCACCACGTTTCTGTTGTTCATCTCCCTGGGGTTTGGGGTTATACTTCAATCATTGTAGTAGGTTTCCCATTTCTCCCCTCTCTCCCCCAACTTCCCCACTGCCCTCATGTTATTACTACCCCATTACTGTTCCTGAGGGGTGTATCTGTCCTGA